CCCCAAAACCCCAAAACCCCAAAACCCCTAGGTAATGATTAGAGAATTCTTAAATTTGAAATAGAAATAATTATTAATAGATAGATTATATAATAATAGTGATAATAGATAAATAGCATGTTGTATAATCAAAAATAGCAACCTCCCACTAATAAAACAGTTCACCCTTAACATTACCATGAATTCATTATTAAGAAGAAAAGATGTAGGAATACTTCGCTCATAGAGACTGAAATGATGAGTATTGAGAACCTTGACTACTCAAGGAAAAAAACTAACATTAAAACATAGAATGGAATGAGGCCAATGTCATCCCGAAGAGATTCAGCCCTTAAAATAAAATCCAAATTATAGCAAAATCATCATTACTATGACAATGCTAGTACCACTCACAAAGATAACCATAGAATACTTTCCGCCAGTCACAAAGATAGGAAATAGCCAAAAGAGATGCTTAACAATGACATCTATGAATTTCTAAAATCATTCTAGAAGAGTGACAATGAAGAAACACTCTTTGATCAATTCTCTGATAAGCACCGTGATGGAAACGGACATAAAAACTTAAATCAAAGTTAAGTCTAATAAGTAATTGAAATGCAAAAAAATAAACAGTATTAGATAAAGTAAGGAAGCTAAGATTTTCAGCAGATAAATCAAACAATTTTTGTCATTGATAGCAAAATAATAAGACAAGAAAGGAAATAGCTCTAGTAGAAGAGGCAACACTTGCTTAAGAAATATAGCAACTTTCAAGTTAATGATTAATAAAAATAAACAATGCCTGAAAAGTCAAAAGAGAAATAAGCTTCTAATGATGCTGCTAAGAGTATGAATGTGACTCAATCAACTCAAGAAGCATCTTCAAGATCAAGCAACGAGCTATAAGAAAATTTCCAAAAGCTTAATAAACTAGTTTCTAGTGCTAAAAATAGAAGCTCCAAGGCAAAACATATTAACTAGCTTGACTGTTCTAGTTTGAACGGCTTTAAGTTTCTCACTAATGAACTATTCTAGAATTAGTATTTAAAAGGAATATAGCAGCAAATTGAGAAGCTTAAGGAGTCAGATCCAAGAACTCCGAAAAACCACACGTCTAATTAAATCAAGAAGGGAAGATAAAGCGCAAATAGGCTTCATTCAAGAGCTGCTGAGTTAACCTATAGAAAATAAGAATTGCTTCCTTTATTCAAAAACTAATTTGACTTTTATCAAAATTAAATCAACGATAAGCAGTCATCAAGAATACTTAGTTCAGGAAGAGCTAGAAACAGACTAGGATTAGTGGCTCAGAGAACGTAGGAACTCAATGAGACTCTGAAAATAACTCCTCTTAATTTCACTGTTTTGCAGATTCCTACTCAAGACAAGCACCTTAAAAATAGAAGACTTATTATTCAGTGATTGATTTAAGCCAATCAATACTGATATACTTTGTAAATATTGGAATTATTTGAATAGTTAAGATTAGCAAATGATTGAGCTACTTGAAATAGATTGAAATCAGTAATCAAATCTTTATTTAATAGTAAACAATAGTTAATCTTTAATTTCTTTTATTTCTAACTATTAATAGTTCAGAACCTTATGGGGTTTTGGGGTTTTGGGGTTTTGGGG